TTTTAAGTAAGAAAAAAAAAAATGTACTTCCGATTTCCTTAAGTCAGTGTGTATCTGTTAGTGTCTCTGTTCCAGCCGCCTGACCTGTCTATTCTAATACAAATACCTTCCTTGGGAGTGTTGACAAACAAGCTGGGATGAAGTTCCAAGCACAGTGATGTGGAACAGGAGGAGGATCCTGCGGTAAATCAAACGTGAAGTTTTTGCTCAGGAGGGCGACGGAGACGAGACAAAGAGTAACCATGCTAAAAATGTAAGAGATCCAGTATTGGGAAGGTTTGAAGAAGGGCAGTGAAGTTAATAGTTAATTAGCTATAAAACATTTTAAATGAGCAAAGAGAAAGGCACTCTCAAAAGTGACAAGACAGATTTGAAATGACAGTAAATACAATTCCTGGAAATGAAAAATATAAAAAGTTAAAATTTACCAACAATTAGTGTGTAGGTTAAACAATGAATTAGGCACAGTTGGAGAGAGGACTGATGACCCGGAAGGGGAACCAGAACTCCCAGACTCAGCGCATCAGAATCACCCGGGGCGCATGCTGACCCGCAGTCCGTCGGGCCAGGCTCACAGGTTCTGAGTCAGTGGGCATGTCCCACAGAACAAGACAACACATGACCTTAAAGGCAACAACAATGGAAGCCCAAAGACAGTGGAAGATTTTTAAAGTATCGAGAGAAAATTTTTGCCAATTTACAATTCTCCACCCTGAAAAATTATCTTTTAAAAATATGGCAAAATAAAGAGCTTTTTCAGATAAAAATGGAGGAAGTTTACTATGGCCATGACTAAAGAGTATACTTTATAAAGAAAGAAAATGATTCCAGAAAAAAAGATCTTATATGTAAGAAGCAAAGGACCTTGTAAATATGATGGTAACACTGAAATTAAATGTTAACTGTGTAAAACAATCAGTCTCAGGTTCAGTTGTGCAGGAAAAAAATAACAAGAGAGAGAAATATGGAATAAATACTGAAATAACACTGACTGAATAGTAATAATGATAAAATACTGAATAACAATGATATGGAACCTGGGGGACTATCAGAGTCACTGCAGCTCATATCCTGCATGCCAGGATGACAACGGAGAGGCTGTTAAATGTTGGACCTTTTTTTTTTTTTTTT